ATAAAATTATAATATTTATCCTCAAATCCTAACATTGCCCCCCCCCCCCTAGAAAAATTTATGAATTCATTATATTGTTCAAGAGTAAATTGTAAATATTTCGTATAATAATTTAAGTGATTTTAAATTTCGATAAAGTTACATTTTTATTCCGATAGATAATGATATCTATATCGATAAAAACGAACGATTTAACATCGTAAATTAAAATCAGGAGAATAATAATTATTGAAAAATTATTGTATTTTATCATGTCAAGTTTAGTTTTAAAGCCTTTAAATATTAAAAGATATATTTTATATAATAAACTGTATGTAAGGACAAAAAAAAAAAAGATAATTTATACCACTTCACAATATTTTTTGTAAATATTTGTTGTAGAGTATAGAATAGATATTATAATTATAATGCTATTTTTTTTTTTATTAAATGATTGAATGATTAATAATTAATGATGGATGATGATCATTGCAATGTTTCATTTTACACATGATTTCGCAATTATTAAAATCGTTTTGTTGATAAGATTAACTGCACTTATAAAACGATAGAAGAACATATTATTATTTATAGTTTTAAACATCCATTATATTTATATAGTTTTATATTATATTGAATAGTTTCGACATAGCGTGGATGAAAAATAATTTTTTTTTTGCAATAAATGTATTAGCGTTTTAATGTGTCGAATCGAAGTCAAGGCGAAGAGTTTAGTTCCGTTTGTTTTCCATACATATTTTTTCAAAAAAAACGATACTTTGATAGTTTTCACTATACAAATTATGGTTGGACATAAATTTAAGTAATAATCGTGATGAATTGCTATTTACTTGGTTTGATTTCAAAATAAAATACAATTAACCTTGTGAATGACACTCGCGTGTAACTTCTTGTTTTGTTCTGCAATCACATACGATCCAACATTTTTCGCCTATCTGTTAATCATAAACAACGATTGCGTTTACGTGACCAATTTTTTATACTTGCGTCTTGGATTGACCGGTTAAGGAGACGTTCGCTATATTTGTAGACCAGTTTAAGCACTAACAAATGACCAATATTTTTTTTATATAGGACATTTGCCTACCCGTAAGTTATAACTTTATAAGTGATATTATATAATTTATACCGAACACATTAAAGAAAAATTATTTTATGGTAATCGATTCATAACAAAATATGTATTGTGAATAATTAATTCAAATGTAATGGAAAATAAATATTATAATTTTAAACCAATGTATACATGTATATAGGTTATATATAGGTTGATTAAATTTATCCTAATAATTATACATTGGTATTTATAATTGATTACTTTATCATTAGTAGCAAATTAAATATTCGATTTATTTCTACGAAAACTATATTTCAATTGTTCGATGTTTGACCTTATATTATTACAGTCTTCATTAACGCCATTTTGTGTTTATAAATATATATTTTTCTATTGATAAAAATCCACCATATCAAAAACAAACATTTAATTGAAAACTTTTGTCAATTTGTGAATTATTAATATTTATGATACGAAAATGTATTTATTATAATATTATATTACTTAATAAAATATAAATATACTTAATTTTCAAAGAAATATTTAAATAAAATTACAGATATTTTTTAACATTTAAAACGTTTCATTTCCTAACATCTAGTTTTATAGCATATTAGCGTTTACGAAGAATTAACAGCGCATAAATTAAAAATATTATTAATCACTTCTTAAGAAATCTGTTCTTGTAAAAGAGAAAATTAAAGTATTTTATGTTAAAAATCGCTACCTCAAATCCTACCACATTTATTCTATTTATTCTATATATTATAGATTATATTATGTGTCACATCAATATATGATATATCTATAATAATTTTTGCTAAATTGACAAGACGGCAAATATGTGTTTCTGTAACCCAGTCAAAAGTTATCTTCAAAACAAACTATTTTTTTATCATTGAACGTTACGGGTTAGGTAACTAGCACCTACATATATACCTATGTATGCTGAGAAACCACAATATAAATTATAATAATATATAAAACAGTTCAGTTTGTTCAGCTTATAATCTTATATGTGAGYATACGGTTCATTGACAACATTTACCATGGAATATAATAATATATGTATAGAATATAAATTCTTCACCTTCATAAGTTCAGATAAAAAACTCATGTTACATTTGAATATTATGTAATATCAGTAAGCTAAGTGTGCATTKTTTAAATTTGAATGAAACATCCTGTCAATTTTTTTTTAATATTTAAATTTTTCCATCAATTAGATACAAATTATAATTTATTTTAGAGAAAATGATTTTTATTGTTTAGTAATAAATTATTTCCGTATTTTTCCGCACTTTAAACTAGAAAGTTAGGAATTAGATTATTTATATTGTTGTTAGGTATCCCTTGTATCCTACTATCCTGTATCTATATATAGTATGCAATACACTTAAACTCTTTTGGAAAGGTCAGACATGCTGGAAATGAATAGCACACTCAATGATTAAGCAACTTGTTCAATATTGTATCTATATAACGAAAAAAAAAACTAATTTGGTTATCGATGGCGTAAAAATAATATATAATAAGACGTTATAATTTAAACACGTGGTCCGGTGTCCGTGAAATTGTGCGTCAACATCAACATGCTATTATGTATGATTAATAAAAATAACTTAAAAAAATTCTTAAGACAAATATATTTGAAAATTATGCAATCAACTATGAATAATATATTATAGAGATACAAAGAGAACAATCGCTTTACTTGATATCTCTGTTTAGATAGTGAAATGTGCATGTACGTATGAGTGATAGGAAGAGGAGCAGTGAGAAGTGTGAGAGGGGGATGAGCAGAGATGGAAGAGTATATTTGGTAGTGAGAAAGAGAGAGGGTGTGAGTGAGTGAGAAAGAGTGAGCGTCAGAGAGACATAGAGAAATAAAAACAGCATCCTATATACATGACGATCTAAACGAAATAATAGTAAACGGTCGTTCACGGTAACCCGTTGACCTGCAGGTGTACGCTTTACATGCAGTAGTAGTAGTTATAATATCATATAGGACTTCACGCACTTATTATTGATTTATGTCGAGGTCTTTCACCCGTTGAAATCATAATAAAGTGATCCATAAGACAAGGTTTATTGAGTTAGAAATGATCCGAAGTTTCGAACGAAAACGAAACTTTACATTTCGCTTTGGCTGGGAGCATAATGGTACTTTCAAAATAAAACGAACTGCACTAATACACTATTGTCTATTTCTCGTTTATGTATACAGTTATTATACTGAAATTATTGTATATGTATTTACAACAACATTCAAAAATATTATCTTGTTTACTAATTTATACAAGTTGACATTTTATTATAGAGGATTATTATAGAGGATCACAATAAATTAAAAACGAATTGTAGTGTTTAATTTTCTAGTGATATAACGCGTTATTATACCTAACAAAAAACGAATACAACAATAGTAATATTGCTTGAATGTTACCTTTATAAATATCAGCATAATATATTATAATGATACATGTTGATTTAAACTATTTTATTCATTATCGTTCAGAACAATAAACTCTTTCGAATAATAATTACTTTGAACTGATTTGGAATGTCGGTGGCTATAATATTATGTCAGAATTGCTTTTTAGGTAGTTGGTACGTTTTAACAAAATAATATAAGATTTGTAGGTATAGACTATAGATACTCAATATAATATTATAATAATAGAACTTTAATATTTAGTTAATAATTTTAATTTTAAGTATTCCGAGATAAAGTATTTATTAATTAATTACTAATTGATTTCGGAATTATAACATTTCGCGTGAATCAATGTATATCTCTTCTTTTAACTACCTAGTACCTAGTATCTATAGTATCATTTATACTTTGTTTACCCTTGTATAATGTTAATGTTTTTTAATTAATCATCCTTGAATTACGTTATCACGTCATATCAATACAAAAGTCAAGTGACATTCAATAAAATGATTTCAAGTAAAATATAAACTTAATCACTATATCTGTCTAGTCTAAATAAATTATTCTTCAGAAAATAATATTCAATTAGTTACAAAAATAAAATAGCCGACCTTGTGGTTAAAATTAAAATTAATGTTAATGATGAACATATTAAATTTATTATTATTTTTTAAATATGATATAAACTTTTAAAGTATTAAATTAAAAAAAAAATGTTTATGGTAATAATATTTATAAGATTGATTTTGTTTTTTATCGCAAGTGTTTGATATAATTAAAAATTCGTATTATGATGCTTGTGATTTAGCTACCTACGCAGTTTTTAATAAAATAATTGTGGTTAGTACCTATATTCAGTACGAATTCAAATTATTCTTTTAAGTTTGATAATTCATTTAACTTTGGTTTCCAGAACACCATTATGAGGTCTAAGTCATAAGAGTATAATAAATAAAATCCTACGAATAATTTGAAGTTTTGTTACTTAAAAAAACCAAAAAAAGTATATACAATTGTGTAAAACAAATTACAAGTCAGCTAAACTGGTGACAACGTTTTGAAAGCGTTTATTTGTATGAATATATAGACAGAGAAAGCAATAAGTCGGTAAATTTAATTTATGCAACGGTGACAAAAGATAATTGTGTAGCGAAATTGGCAGTGATAAGTGATTTAACGTATACGATGTTTATGACAATACACTACGGGAAATATTATCGAAAATTAGAGAAACTTAGACATTTCTGTAGATAAGTTTGGATTTTTAGAGAAACTTATACCTAATACAAAGACAATAATATTATGTTATGACATGCTTATTTTTATTGTTTCTTATATTACTTACAATTGAGTATGTTTTGAACACTTGTACCTATACACAAAGTGTTTAGAAAATATTTTTCTAATTTTATAGATAATATATATTTATATGTTTAATGGCTATAACCCCATACTAAAATTACTAAAATAAATGTAAAATTAAAAAAAAAAGTATTTACTTACCGAGTATGTGCTGGTTGAATTAATTTAAGTATTAATTATGACTGTCGTTTTCAGAGTTATGGCCTCAACGACTTTTAGTTCCCAACAGTAGTTTCCTGAAATAAAATTTTTATTCAAGTAAGCTTTTAATAGTATAATATTACACTGTTTTAATATTTGATTGATTTAACACTTTAAGTTGTACATCTAAAGTACTTAGTCCTGAAAAACGCACTATCCGTCAATATACAATTCTGAATTAAGTTTAAGTTAAATAGATAATATATTTATTTAATAAGCTGATTGCTTTTTTTTTAAGTTTTACAAATATTACTACATTAAAGTACATGAAAAATGAAAAATAAAATAAGGATGAAAAATGTAGAACTATAAAATTTCAAATTTTTAAGCTATAAATAAAAAATTAAAATATACCCTAAACATTGTATAACACTATAGGTGGTTGAAAAGGTAATAATATTTTTTACTAGAATAACATATTACAACATACTGATACATTACAATACTATACAACACCAAGCATGCTCATCCTCATTAAATTTTTTTTTTTTAATGTATACAAATTTTGATTCCTGGAATTCTTAAATATAGTTTCTAACAATATTTTAAAAATTTTATTTATACTAAGGATATTAATCTTTAAAAATGGTTTTATAAAAATATAAAATATATGCTGCAATATTAGATATAGTATTTACTATATTTTGAACGTGTTTACAAATTATACATTTTAATAGGTCAATATTATTTACGAGCATTTTTGAATCACCATATAGTACTCCTTCCATATATTTCAAACCCATTATCAGGACCTATTTTGTCTTTAGACCTTAGTATACGCAAAGTTAAATAACTCAAAAACTACTCGATCGAGTTTTGATTTTGATACAATAAAATATCCAATAAATAATATTAACAATTGAAAAGGAGATTTTAATTTGAGAAATAGGGGTTTGTATATAATATATGACACTATATAATTATATATATATATATGTATGTGTGTGTGTGTGTATAACTATATCAAACCTAAAATAAAGATAGTATCTAGGTACAAGTTGAGAATTTATTTTGCGAAAGAGAGAACAATCACTCCAGTTATTGAATTTTCAGAGTTCGTCTGTAAACGATAGCAATATTTTATTTATTAAATTCAACACCAATACACAATTCCAGGCGTTCCATATGATAGACATGTTATCTATAACCTACAATGTTCATATATTCACTATTATGTATTTCTGGTATAATGTTATTAATATTTATTTAATATACTATTTCCGTTTGAAATTACCAAGTGGATGCCTTATAAATATTGCCAATTAATTCAGTACCTATAGTCGTGAAAATAATATTTTAGAAAATAAAAAATAATCAATATTATATTTGGTAAGATATTATTTTACATGCGGTCTTTATACTGATAGACAATGTTTCAACAAAAAGGTAAATTTTAAATTTAAATAAAAATGTATTTTCTAATACAAATATAAAGTTAATTAATTGAAATATTAGATATTATAAAATAATATTTTGCGTGGAAAAAAATAATCAACAATTGTCAACTTCATAATACAATGCAAAAGAAAATGTTAAAATCTGAATGCCCAATCAGTTATTGAGAATATTCAACTTAATTAGTGTTTTGGTGATTGTCAAAAAATACATGTACAGAGTCATAGAAAGTACAACTTACTGTCAACTGTCGTAGGTACTGAATACTATTATTACTAACACTTGATGATAAAAAATATAATTACATTTTCTTATATATATATTTAGATATGCACTATATGACTATATAAGTTACATTATATATTTTACAATTTGTTATATTAACACGTTCAATCGTAGATGGTTAACAACAACTTTTCTTTTAAATTACAACTTACTGGCCAATATGATCAAAAAAGTAAATTTCACATAATATTTGCGTAAGTGGGTAAAATTTTAAGTCACTGCACATTCAGGTCATGAGATTCTAAATAGATGTATGGGTATGTACTCAACAATCGGAACTGCAAAACGGTTTTGAGTGTTTTGGCATCGATCATTCAATGTATATAAATGCATGCACTCGCACTAGCTGTACCCATATTCTATACTTCTCTATAGTGACACTATAATATTATTATTTCCAGGCAAGCATTCTCACAATAATGTATTGTAGAAAATAGAGATCTAAGATGACAAATTGTTGTTGTATCATAATTTATTGTTGTCATCACTCATTAAGTGCGACTATATTATTATAACGATTATTTATTAATCGTTTTCTTTTTAGTCAAACTGTTGCTTACAGAACTATTAAATGGCACGTGAGGAGGGGAAGTATTCATGTTTCATCCATGCTGCAGTCCAAACATGGAAAAATAACTATTATTAAATTATAAAAATAAAATATTATCTTAATCATTAGCTATAATTTAATAGGTGAAAATTATAACTTACTTTTTTTGTTTACATAGGTACCAACAATTTTTTAAAGTCCAACATAATGTATAATTTTTATAAAAATATTTAATATTTACTGCATTATGTATACTTATAGTATTATACATTTATTCGTGTGCATACCATACTACGATTAACGATACACAATGATTGATTGGAACAGTACAGATATAACTATACGTCATATATATTTTGAAAAATACTTAAAAAAGAACCATAACAATAATCGAAATCATTGGTGTAACAACACTAAAACACGCGATATTATACGTATGATATTATTTTGTAGGTTTTCAAACAATAAGGACATCTAGAGTAAAATGTATTAAATTGCACTGCAGTGCGGAATTGAATAATTGATACAATTTATTGTACAGTATAATATTGTATATCGCAATTGTCTTTAGATAAAATATAATATATTTTGTAAGTGTTTTATTGAAACAATAATACTCGGTAGTTGCGAGTATAGGTATGTCGTATGTGCAAATAATTACATACGTCTGATGTCTGTAGACATGCAAGTGTCTAGCTTCAACAATATTATTCAATAACGATTAATAGACAAACCGTGTTTTAGACTTTTTAGAGAATATAATATTCTGTACACAATATTAATTATCTCAATAATTCTTATGTATGTTATATACACACACACACACACACCTAGCCATATAATACGATGAGACATCAGAATTATTATATGATGTCTACCTATAATAATATATACTATAGGTGGGCGTACGAGGTGGGTACTTACACACTAGCTGTAACCTGTAAGCTATACACACACGTACACATCTGACACATGGATAAAAAAAAAGTAAAATTACTTTTTATATTACAGTGTATAATTTTAAGTGTATATTATGTTTATAGTCTTTATCTTTGGACTTTGATCGTATTCATTATTGTATCCGACTATTAAGTGAATGTGTATATAACACGTTTGGCTTTGAGGGGCGGTAGGGATGTTAGTCGGTAGATATATACCCGAATCGATTGTATTTTAGGGCACAAGTTTACAGCGCACACAAACAAACCGTAAACTCTCTCTCATACACATACACTCATACACGCACAGCCAACCCCTCCGTGATGTAAAAAGTTTAGGAACCTAGGGAATTATCTAGGTCAAATCATCCATCCACCGCACGACCAACTATCTACAACGTACCACTGCTCTACAACCACCCCTAACCGACCGGGATATCACGACACAAGAGGCGCGTCACGCACACTGTTCCGCAGACGCTCCTTCATGACTACGCTGAACCCTCCTCTCATCGTCGAACACCCGCAGACTACACGAATATTCTATGGTATTCTTGGTGCCCTAGGTCTTTTCCACCAGCCACCAGTACGGAGAAGGCGTACAGTTATATCTCATTTTGTTTTTATACGATAACAACCGAGGTTTGGCTGAATCAATTTCGTTGTTAGTTGTTATACCAACTAATTGCCAACACCATCATCATCCGAACATCCGTAAACATAAAGATTATAATAATTTATAATAATTACATTAGTATTTTCGACATATTTGACAGCTACATAGACATGAGGCGCATTGTTAGTCAATACGGAGAAAGTTACTCATGTCAATTTTCAATATCGAATAGTTTTTTAATTGTTAATTGAATACGCAATTCGTAGTATAGGACACTAAATATTTACTATACGTTTACAAGTTTAGATTATGAACAGACTATGTCTGTATTGATTTTACTATAATATTGAGTATATGTTTGTGTGTGGTTTTTTTGTTTCTGTCATCACCCTTTGGGAGCAGTTAAAATACTTGGCTTTTTACTTCAATATATTATTTTTTTTGTGAAAAAGTGAACTATAGCTGGTGTTTCGAGAGTCAAAACTAAAAAATGCCATWTATTTTATTCTTTTTAATAATTTTGAATTTCGGAAGCTCCTGCCTTTATTGTCGATATTGACTTAAAAGTTATAAAATGTATATAATATGATAAGTGATAGAACATATAATATGATTCATATTCTATTGTACTAAAATTATAACTAAATTATACATAAAAATTAATATACTTTAGTATGGGACTCGGAAACAACTGAAATAATTGACACCAAATTTTGCACACATCCCTCGAAACTCGGAGAAAGCTATTGCTTTATTTTTCAACTCGCTTAAAGTAACTGCTATAAAGTAACACACTCATGAATTTCATTTTGGCCCATGAAAATTGAATATTGTTTTGTTTATCTATGAAGTGGTCATTGGTTAAAAAAATAAAATTTAAAAAAAGATGTTGAAATAGGCGACTAACCTGACCGAAATGGAATTTTTGAAAAGAATATAATACGTAATATATGTATGATTATTAATATGTACACTAAAATATTACGTCCATATGTTTCTAGGTATAAAATCAAAAGCTATATATACTCAAGCGATTTTTACAAAAATTCAGAGATTGCTCTGATATCAAAAAAGTTTAGAGAGTAGTTTGAATAACGTTTGAAAATTACCAAGTGCTACGTATATCCATTATTCATCTATTGTCCATTTCAGTCGAATTAGTTCACAAAGCGAGGCAGATATTTATACCTACATCAATTCCTATTTTCGCATGAAATGAAGTTCACTATAACAGAGATAATATGCCTTCAT